TTAGGCCCCTGGCTTCATGAAGATAGCAAAAAGAGAAACTTCCACAACTGTTAGCGGCGTGGAGTCAACACGTGCAAACGTGTCAAAAGCGTGAACGTGAACTGGATTCATGTTGGGCCCTTCCCATAAACTGACACGTGGATCCGCACCTGCCACGCACTTCGTCACAGAAGCACTTCCGGTCCCGCCTACTGGTCCAATCCGGTCCCACAGATGGGTCTTTCCAAGGGCTGTTTCTCTTGGGGGTTTCATCATTTTCGCTCTGAACTTTGCATATGGTCTTCAATGACCATGCCCAACACCTGTACACAAGGAAAGGATAAGCAGTCTTTCCGTGGAAGATTCCTTTAATGCAATACTAGACGTAAGTAAAAATTGATGAATATGTGAAAATCGCAGCATTCGTTGGTACTTGTTCACTGCCCGACCGCAAGTTTGCGGGTCCGCACTGCTCTTTCCAAGCAGTGGCCCTGTAATTATGTCAATTATAGGTCATAATTGCTCTTAAAACATCTAGTCTTCGTGGCGTTTGGTTTTCAGAAAACAATTTCAGACAACTTTTCCTTCTGCTTCCTCAAGAAAGTCCGAAGTGGCTGCGCGGAGTGACTACCAAGTGATTATTTTTTTGCTTACTGTAGCCCTGTTTGTTCCTCCTCATATATGGCTTTGTAGGCAGAAAGCGATGATGAAATCGAAGTTCCACGAGGATTTTTAGCCGAACCTGCCTCCGTACATCAAGAAATGAATGATGAAGTTTCACCGCAGGTGGAAGATGAGAAGGTAAGAAGGCTTATTGGATTTGGGTTGCATGACTTCTACAACCTTTTCTAATCTTTGGAGTTCTGGTTGTAATAGAATGACGTCTGTGAAATCAGATCGTGCGAAATAAAAGTGTATTTAGCAGGAAAGAGGAGAAAACGATATAAAGAAAGTGGAACAATTCCTGAAGAACCTTGTGGAAAACCCTGAATGGGCCCGCTCCTTACCGTACGTGAAGCTGAATGCTACTGTTCCAAAAAGTAAGTATAGCTAGCACCTAATTTTTTTTGATCGGAAGTAGCTGAGCAATTAGCGTTTTCAAAATTTGATAATGTCGGTGAGGGATCAGTTCGAATCT